TGTACTTACGTCTCAGCTTCCCAATCCAGTGGTCTACAAAATAGGGCTATATAAGGTAACCATTTTTCATAGGTAGAAAACAGAATATCCTTTTTCTTTTTTTCTACCTTTCTCTTCCCCTGACTAAATAAATAATGTACACATATATATTTGAGGTTCAGGTTTTTAATTACCAGGTTAGAATCAAATATTTGGACACATCTGTTCTGATTTATTGATAGAGGATGACAATAGTGCCTCTATGTCAACAAATTGTGAGCACTGAGTGTATATTAAATAAAGTACATGTATTACACGTGTACCTATAAAGTATTTAGTGTGTGACCACATGTGACTAATAAACACAATCATTAGGAAAACAGCTTTTACTCTTGTGGAGATGAAAAAAGTAACCAAATGCCTGGTGTGTATCAGGCACCATTGTAATCATTTCTGATCCTCACGGCCTTTGCCATGAGCACTCCTCAGTAAGCAGTGAGGAGACCTAGACTTCAGTGAGTCTGTACCCAGGAGGGCAGCTGTGGCTTATATCTATAAAACCACACCACACTAAAGAACAGGTTCTGTGACTCCCAGTCTATTTTAAGAGCAAATATTGAGTTGGCCAAAAAGCCTGTTTGGTTTTTCCCATAAAATAAAAGACTTTTTTTTTCCATTTTCACCAGTAACTTTATCGATTTGGGTATTTTGAGGATGCCAGCTGTCTCCTACTATTGGCTTCAGTGGGTAGAGGGCAGAGGTGCTGCTAAACACCTTCCAATGCATGAGACAGCCCCACGGCAAAGAATTATTTGGCCAAAATGTCAGTAGTACCAAGAAACTTATTAGCAAAACACTTTTGACATGTTCAGTCACAGTACCTTCTCCATACACTGTGCAAGTCTTTTTCTTGCATTTCAGTTTTTACTTCTCAAAATAAAGTATAACATGCCAAACATGTTGTGTATCTCCTTCCCTCTTTGATATTAAAATGGCTGCACAAAAATTCACCAATTTTGATTTTTTTTAATGCACACTGATATGACAGCTGTCACAATATAGCTAAGAAAATTGTTTTGAATGAAGTTAAAGACAATTAAGCACTATTAGAGCCATCTTATGGGAAAAAATTAAACTAACTTTTTGGCCAACCCAGTACTTTTCCTTTAGAACTCAAATTATTATAGAAGCTTATGGCTGTGAAAGGTGTATGGGTATTGAGTACTTTAGTTCTTTATCTGCTTTTCAAATAGGAATTTACTTTTTCCTTAAGCAGAACACTGCTAATGCTGTTTCTGTATGTTTCCTCCTAATGTAAAAAATATTTAACAGCATACGGTGAAAAAGATCTGTTTAAGTAACACTGCTGCAGTGCCTTTTCAAAAATGGAAAATGTGTTAAGCTGGGAGACTGCCGGTTTTTATGTGCTACAGAGGAAGGTTAACAAGGGGAGATTGAGTGCACTGGTTACCACACTGGAAACAGTGGCTCATGTGACCATGTCTTCGTGGCATGAAATGAGTACGACCAGACAGTAGAAACACAGAGTGAACAGCAAGATAAAGGCCTTGCCTCTCTGTTTTTCACTCCAGACCAAGTAATGACTTGAGACAAATAGTCAGGGATCCCATATCTTTCATTTTATTTCTAGTTCACACCTACAGCTGGTAAGTACATTAGTGGTTAGTAAATTAAAGTCAGTCCCCATTTTGGATATAAAGCTACACTTAATGAGTACTAGTAAGACCACTTACTTAATGGTGTAATGCACCTGTGTTGATCTTGGTCGTCTTTTTCTTTTAGTCTTTCCATTTACAGCCCACGGGGACTCCAGGTACCTACCTACTTCAAACGAGCTCAAGCCAAGGCCTGCCCCTCACTCTGACTGCTAGTCCCACAGTAACCGTGACGGCTGCTGCTCCTGCTTCTCCTGAACAGATCATTGTTCATGCTGTATCCGTATGTTACCTTACATAAATTGCTTAATTTCTAGTTTTTGTAACAAAGGTTGGCTAACTGACAAGCATCGCCATGTTTCTCTAGTTTTCAGTACTGTGAGAGAGCCCGTGGGCCTTCAGTAACAATATCTCGGGGGGGGGGGGGGGCGCCAGCGAGGGGCAGCAGGAGGGTCTATTACGGGCTTAGGTCAAGTATTTGAGCACCTATTAAGGACCAGGGTTAGTTAATATAAAATGTAAGAGCCAAAACTAATCTAGTCCATTTATTGAAACAATTCTTTGTTATTACTGTTGTCCCGGGAGTAATGTTTTACATCTCCATTCTGCTTCCCTGGGGCAGATCGCTCACTCCCTGTGTCTCCTTATATGTGATGGACTTAAATTAGGGAAATGGGGACATTAGGAGAGCAAAGGCCCACATAGGCAAAAGACAGGTTTTCTAGAAAAATCGTGGTAAGAACACTGCAGTTCCAGAAGTGAGAGTTGGGGGGGGAACAGTAGCCCACATTAGCACCTATAAATGTCCTTTGTTTGTTGCCTATAATTGGAATATGGTAGGTACTTTCTTTATTTTTGCCATTGATCATTTTTTTTTAACATTTTATAGCCAGAGCATTTGTTGAACACAAGTGACAATGTTACAGTGCAGTGTCACACACCAAGAGTCATCATTCAGACAGTTGCCACAGAGGACATCACTTCTTCCATATCCCAAGCAGAACTGACAGTAGATAGTGATATTCACTCATCTGATTTTCCTGAGCCTCCAGATGCCCTAGAAGCAGACACTTTCCCCGATGAAATTCATCAACCTAAGGTGACTGTAGAGCCATCATTTAATGATGCTCATGTATCCAAATTCAGTGACCAAAATAGCACAGAACTGATGAATAGTGTTATGGTCAGAACAGAAGACGACCTTAAACAAGAGGAGGAATCACCCTCTCATTTAGCCTGTGCTTATGTTACTGAGGTAAGTTGCACTTGAGAGAACAGCCTACGGGTTCTTGCCTTGAGCTTCCAACCTGCAGTTTGGGAAGAGCCTAGAGATAATTTATGGGGTGTGATATCCTGTGGTGCTTTCTTTTTTCTTTAGACACAGTAAAGTGCAAACCCCACCTCTGACCTCACAAACGTCAGTCAACCGGCAGTGTTGCCCTGTCCTACCACACTGTTCCACACTGAAAGCCTTCCCTTGGAAATGTTTGTTGGAACCCATGGAAGCATTTTCCTGAGGGTGGTTAATAAGCTTTGTGGTTTAGCCTAGGAACCTCATGCTACAAAAGAGCATTATTCTATATTCAAGGGACCTATAACTGAATTGGTTTTTTGAAATTTTTTGTTATTCGACTATGAAGTTACTACTTTGTCCGTTTTAAGACCTTTTTAGATTTCTTTACATTTTAATTTTAAAATGGGAATATTTGAAAGTTAAGTCCTTTCAAACCTAAACATGTTTGGGGTCTTAAGGAAAGCTAATAAGGAATATGAGACAGAATCTCATTTTTTAAAATTATTATTTAGGATTTAGAGTCTTCTGCTATAGAAGAACAAGTTGATCAAACAATTGATGATGAAACGATACTTATTGTTCCTTCACCGCATGGCTTTATCCAAGCATCTGATGTCATAGACACGGAATCTGTCTTGCCTTTGACAACACTAACAGGTACTGTAATCTGCTTGCTAAGTCTTAAAGAGAAAATCAGGCAGTTACATATTTAATTCTGTTGTTTAAGTCTTTCTTGATCAAGCAACAAAGATTAGTGATCTTGTAAATTTTGCACTTTGGTAGAATACTTAAATTTTTTTTCTTTAAATAAATTCTTGATGTGGATTAGGGACTATATACATTATATACATTTAAGAGTAATTTGAAACTTAACTCATTACAGATCCCATACTCCAACATCATCAAGAAGAATCAAGTATCATTGGGTCATCTTTGTGCAGTCCTGTCTCAGAAAACTCAAAGGATGTTGAAGATTTGGTCAACTGTCGTTAGGTAATTCTTAGAAACAGGTAGTTCAAGCAAAGAAGCCACACTGTTCATTGCAACATCTCCAAAGAAATAGGAGGAACCTTCCCCCCACCCCAGGAGGCTTAACTTACCATTCCTCTGGCTTTTAAATAGCTTCAGTGCTTAAGCTGCGTACAGTGTTGCTGCTATGACTTTTTACCTCCTTCCAATGTCATCTGAGGTCTAGTCTTATGGAAATGTACTTGAGTGGGATGGGGGGGTGGGGCAGGGGTCTTTAACTACATAGATCCCTGTGATTACTGCCATCTGTTAGCAGGGAATTCCATTCACTTCAGCCACTGAGAAAAGTTTAAAATCACCAAAGCCTGACTACTCCTTCAAAAGCAGTAATATTCACCTCTCAAGATCAGATGTCTCTATCTGATCTCAAGTAGGCCTGTTTATATTTCAGAGAGGTCACAGCATGGTCTAGAGTTTACCAGTGACCTTCCTCAAAAAGATTATCATTAGTTTGAGGCCTGACCAGCATACAAGGACACAGACCTAGGAGTTGATGGTGCAGCAGTTACTTTGGGTTTACTTATTTACCCAAGGTTAAATACCTGGCCTGGGAACTGATTTGGGCTGGGCAGAGAGGAAAAGCATTAAAAGAGTAGGAAAATTCACTACAGGTTTCTTTTTTAATTAATTTAAAGGGAATATGGATGAGAGTAATATCAAAACTCAAGAGTTTTCACTTCAGAGCCGACTGCCATCAGTTTACAAAATTAGCACTTTGAGGTCAAATGAAATGGGAAGTTCCCTTTCCTATACCGTGACTACTTCTTACATGTTTTGTGATAAGAATTCACCCAGAAAAATAGTTCAGGAGGGTATCAGAGTTTGCTGTTCACTTAGTGCATTAGCTGGGGAGGGTGTGATAAAATTTCTCCCTCTCAGGCAATTTTAAAAAACACAATTTGCTTCTGTAATGAAATGAAATATAAATTGAGTCATTCCTATACTAGAGAAGGTTAAACCAAAACTAGCCTCTTAAAGCTTTAACGCATATGACTCCTATAGAAAAGTCACAAAAAAACCCCTTGTATAAATTATTTTATTTATTATTGTAATTAGATCTTCACAATCAAAGTTGTCTTTTCACCATCTGTGTTTTGTTAACATAAAATGAAATTGTAGTTAAAAGCAAGAGTTGGTTGCCTAGGGAACAATATTGTACATTCAGTTTAACAGAAATAAAAGAATATTTGTCTTAAAATGCAAGATTGTTTGTTACATAGCCTTTCGCCATGCAGTTACATTATAAAAAATTTTAATTTCAAAAGTAAAAAGTACTTGTGCTGTTTGAGCTTTAAGGGTTGGAATGTGTAAGTGCCATATCAACTTCTTAAAAAAAAAAAAAAGACCAAGTGATCTATGATATGTCTCCCCTGAAAGAGGGCATTTAGATTTACAATCAGCATGAAAGTCACGTATGGGACTTCTACAGTCAGTTCTTCAGCACACTTCATCCAGCTCTTACTCACAGTCCTAATACATAGCTTGGGAGAGACCTCGTAAGTGTTGTTTCCTTAGTAGCCTCACTTTCCCACATCGTGGAAGTACAGGTTTGCACATATACATAACATGATGATAGAAAATAAGATATAGTAAATTAGATTTCTAAATTTCGGTTCTAAGTCTCCTTGTCGATACCAGTAGATCTAAAAGAAGAAGAATTAAATAAAAGTTTAAGTAATAGCCACTGGGTCAAGTATTTAAAATACAACTAATTCTTTTTCCCCTAAATGAGACAGGCTTTATATTAACCTACATTCCTGAGACTTAATGCAGCCAGAACTTAATTGTAATTCTTTACAATTCAAGTAGTAACAACTGAGTTTCCACATCTAAGATTATACTATTCCTGTCTGCTCAAGTTAACTTTGTTCTATGTTCAAATCAACAGCATCCACACCAGTCAATCATCTGGCAAGCCATCCAAGAATATGCATCTTCCAGACACTGTTTACAGAGTGAGCAAAAGTAGGTTCACAGTTGTTAGCACATGAAAGAGTTTATTCTTATATATTATTTATTTTTGCATATATTTCTCCATATGAACAACTGTAAGCCTACTTTTGCCCACCCCTATTTATTTGAGTAAAAGATATAATTCTTTTAGATAGTGGAAGGGACAACTTTTAATTTCAAATAACATTCAAATTGCCAATACAGAATTGGGCTTACGTATGCATGTATTCAGTTTAAACTAAATCACTGTTAGTCACTTTGGGCATTAGGCTGGGAGTGGGAGGAGGGCATCTCTAGTAGCTTTGTTCCAAAGGCTCCAAAAGTGGGAACTGCTGAATTCTTCCCTCAGGTCATAGGAGTACAGCAGAATCCATGCAATAGAAGCTGGAGGTCCCATTTAATTTTAACTCATATAAGCACATTGCTATTACAGATCAAGCCCTGTGTGAGTCAAAACGATTGCTTTTGAGGGTTTACTGTTTTGATTCTGCCTCATCAAAGGAACAACAGCCAACTAACTAATGAATGACTTGATTGAACTCTTGGCAAATAACCCAACTGAGATCTACAACCATCTTTGCTTCTTCACCTAAAAACAAAGGCTTCTTTGGGGTAAAACTGAACCTTGTTGTGACAAGGATACATTTGGGGAGATAGGCACAGAGATTAAAATAGATTGGACGTATTTCTAATAATTACAAAATGAGAGTGCTAGTGCTTCATCTCTTCCCTTAAGAACAGTAATGGCACTCCCTAAAGCCTGATGGTCCCTGCAGGTAGTCCTTGAAAGAAGACAAGTAAATCACATCAAATCTTTGGCCACCTGAGTCTTTTTAACTATTTCTTTCCTATCAAGGGAAGTTTCCCTTTAGGGTTATAACTCTGGGATTTAGGAGAAAAGAAACTCAGATTAAAAGAGAAAAATATTGAGAATTTTGACATCCTTGGGGGGTCGGGGGTAGTTGTAATCAGGGATACCCTTTCCCACAGACTCAGGTCTGGGAATCTGTCCTAGCTAGGCACTGCAACCCGCAGCCCTCAAGGGTACTCAATTTAAATTCTAAACAGTACTCACAAGTATGCAGGCAGTAATACTACTCAAAGAGATGCAGACAGCAAAAAATACATTCAATGGTTTTGGAGGTGGTTGAGGGAAAACAAAAGCACTGATCAGCGTTACCTGTATGAAGAGAAATTGTCAGGCCTTAGGAGCAATTCCAAGACTTCATCAGACTGGAGTCTGGGCAATGTTAGTGATTATAAATGCTTCACATTGTAAAATGATACTTACCATCAGATCTGCCTTATGGAATGTTAATACAATGTTTAATAAAGTGTTTGTAAATATGCTTGATTGTGTTACTTTTAGTACTTGCTCTTTCTAACCTTCTTTATGAAAGGAGACACAAAGGTGCAGTCAGACTAGCTAGCCTCAAAGTAAACTCATTAACAAAGATTAAAAGTATTTCCACCTCATTCCCGGGATTGATGATTACATCGGGAAAAGTTCTGACCTTTTTGTTACTTTGAATACTCCAACGAAAAATATATAACCAAAACTGTTTTTGCTTAATATTATGCAAATAAGCTACAGAGTTGTTTTGCCACAGATACAACAACGTACCCGTTCTTTTTAAGAAGTCATGGAAACCAACTTCCCTAGAATTTTCTTACATTTAATGAAAATGTGCCACAGAAATGTCATTCTCAGACTACAAAATTGAACTTTTTAATTTTATTGTGATAGCACCACACTATATTATACAGGGTGAAAAATCACTATATGCAAACCAAAGCTTTTAAAACCAAAATATAATAAATGTGCTTTAAGAAACAAAGTAAACTTAAGATATTAACAGAAAAAGGGGAGATGTGGGCTAGGTTAGAAGGGAGTTGCTGGTAGCAACTGACATGTTACGTTTTATGCATGGCAAATTCAGAAAACAGTTACTCGACTTTCAAATACTCAATGGGATGAAGGCTGAAATCAATTCACTCTGGTTACCAACTGCAATTTTGTTTAACTTGTAAAATTGAAAGCAGCAATATAACTATGACTAGAACACTTCCCATGTTGCTACACTGGTCCCTTGTCAGTTTTGTTTTTGTTTTTTGAGAGTTAATTGAACCATAATACTAAAGTTTTCAGAACTTTGGCTAAGAGACTGAGTAAGACACAAAGATACTTACTAGAATCAATAAGGATGTTAAGCTGCCAACAACTAAATTGATGATTCGATCCTGAAAGAGAAAAAAGGTTTTGAGCCATATGGTGGACTGGTGGCACTTTCAGAAAAGCACAACTGTAGGCATTGATTGCACGAAGAAACAAAAGTTCCTGCCCCCTCTCCTTACACGTAAACACAAATGCCAGAAAGGCAAAGTGCACTCAGCGACCAGAGTGGGAAAAGGGTACTTTGGGAAGATGGACAACTAACTGAAGAAGGTTCCTTGATGGGACAGGACATTTTTCACACTAGAGTCTTGAAGATTCAGAAGGACTGAATGGAGAAGGGAAGCTTACGAAAAATCCACGTGCTGCTGTGAACAGCTTGAGGGCAGAGGCAGAGCCAGGTGCACTGGGATGGGCAGCCCAGATCTTTGGCGAAAAGAACCAGACTGTAGATGATGGAGTTTGGACCTAGTGGTGATACAGCTTAGGTGTCCTTGTTTCGTGTAAGCAAAAAGGAGTGCATCTCAGACCACCTTGCCCAGGGGTTTTCCAACTTAATAGTGAAAGTCTCCCATATACAAACAAAAGCAGAATCATGTGACTGAATGAGAAGCCTGGGGTCCAACCTAGTGAGCTTCCCTGTCATTCCCATCCCTGCCCCAGCAAGCTCCAAGGTGGTTTGAAAAGCTTCTCTAGTCCAATCTTAAGTGTACAGGTTAAGGTAAGTTTAGGCCCAGCTGTAATTAAATACTTGCCTAAAATCACACAGTAAGTTAGAAGCAACTTTGAAATGGGATTCCTAAATCAGTGTCCCTGGTTAGGTTTAGTTTCAGATAGAGGGACTAAAAAGTTTATATATAGGAGGGAAAAATATATATATATATACACAAAAGCTTATAAATACTTTATAGGGTGGGGTAAAAGGTTTACAGTTGTTGAGTATGCAAAACACCACTTTCCCAAATGAACAACTATAAATCTACTTTTGCCCACCCCTGTATGTTACCAATATGACACTTTTACATTATACATATATATATGGTTGACAGCAGTTATTTACAGAGCTTACAGAACAAGGACACAAGGGTTTAAGACCTGATTAGCAAACACTACTGTTAGGCCAAGTCATCTTATCTCTGGGAAGTCAAAAGTGAGTAGTGAATCAGTGGTCGTACAGATTATTTTTGGTAGAGTTTCAGCAGAGAAGGGCAAGATAAGGAATAAACAAAAGCTCAGAGATGACAAAGGTACAGGAACAGAGTAGCGACTGAACATTTCCAAACTGCACTTAAAGAAAAGAATCCAGGTTAAGAGACAAGCAAAGCAGGGAGGGAAGAGGACGGAAAGCCAAGTACTAAGTGGGGAGCCTGGGCAAACCTGGCTCTCAGGGCAAGGCCGCTCACTGCAATTCAGATGATGCAGAGAACAAAGGAGACCGGATACCAGCCACGCCCTCAATAAACTAGGAAGGCTCAGACCACTTCCTATCGCTGCCTCAGCTATAGAAGCCGACACAGCACACAGTAGTATGAAATTATGATCATCCTTTAAAAAGTATTTATTTTTAGAGAGAGGTGAAGGAAGGAAGAAAGGGAGAGAAATGTTATGATTAAAGAAACATCCATTGGTTGTCTCTCACAGGCCAGCAACGGGGCCCTGACTGGGAATCAAACCAGCGACCTTTCGGTTCACAGGCCAGCACTCAATGCACTGAGCCACACCAGCCAGGACTGAAATTATGACTATTTTTAGAGAAGAGATACAGGCAAATCACTGATCATCATTATTCCCACACAAGACAAATTTTACATGTGTGTGCAGTTAACATAAATGTGTATACGATCTATTACTATTGTTTTTGCCTTGTGAGAAAGGTTCAACTAAAAACCCTTATGGTCTATTCTGAAAAGTCAAGAATATCTGCTCACATCAACTCCGGGAACTTGCAAGTTTACAAAAATCTGCACACATCCCAAAAGTGCTCTTACCAACAAAAAGAAGCCAATGAAGATGTTCAGGTGAGAGGTGGCCAAGAATCACTAATCTCCAAACAAGCTGCCAACCAGGATCAAAACGGGGGGGAGGGAGTAATCATGGTGAAAGGATAGTACCTATGCCCGAAGTTGTTGCATGTCTTCTCTTTAAAAATCCTGGGATGAAATGCTATTATGAACTATTTTACAGACAGTAGAAGAGGCTAAGGGTTGTTGAAAACTTGCCCAAGTTCTCAACAGCAGTAAGTGATGGAGGTCGGAGGCAGCAGCCAAAGCCAATAGAGCAGATCCCCTTTAAACTCCCTGGAAGGGCAACCTAGAACGCTACTGCGGGTCTGGACAAGGATACCAAGTGGCAGATGACACCTCAAAAAGCCTGCTAGCAAGGTCCTCCAGTGGAGTGTTGACCTTCCAGGAATGGAGATTTCCTCGTAAGTGATTTTTTTCAAGATTGTTGGACTAACCCATGTAAAACCAAACGGGTTTTAATCACTCATGATAATATATCTAAACTTTAATGACTACTATCCTGCTTGCCTTCTAGAAAGTTCACCAAATGGAATTCTAAGGCATCTGCCTGAATATCAGTTATTCTATTGTTATAATGCAGTCTCTCTGGGTTTTCCAGGATAGGATGAACTACTGGGTTGGCCAAAAAGTCCATTTAGTTTTTCCCATAAAATAAAAGACACATTTTTCATTTTCACCAGTAACTTCATTGATTTGTGTATTTTGAGTATGTCGGCTCTCTCCCACTATTGACATCTAGTGGGTAGAGGCCGGGGGTGCTGTTAAACATCTTCCAATGCATGGGACAGCCCCACGGGCAAAGAATCATTCGGCCAAAATGTCAATAGTCTCAAGAAACTTACTAGCAAACCTCTTTTGACATGATCAGTCACACCTTCTCCATACGCTGCACAAATATTTTTGTGTTTCAGTTGCACTGTTATCTTTCTTGAAATAATAAAACACAACACACCAAAACACCAGGTATCTTCTTCCATCTTCAATACTAAAATGGCTACACAAAAATTCACCAATTTTGAATAATTTGGTTTTTAAATGCACACTGACAATGACAGCTGTCACAATACAATCTAACAAAATTGCTTCAAATGAAGTTAAAAACTAAGCACCACTAGAGACATCGTACAGAAAAAACTAAAGAAACTTTTTAGCCAACCCCCAAATTTGGGATACGGCAGAAGGGTTTCTCACAAGGTTTTCTTCCTCCGAGTCAAAGCCTTGAATTCAGACCTGCTGCTAGCAAAGCCACCATGAATCCTGGCCAAAGTAACAGCTGTTCACTTTGGTAGACCTCCCGCTCTTAAGCCCCTTCTTCAAAGCGCTTGCTACACACAGGGTGATCTGGGGCCCAGCGACACGGGCTGAGCCGAGAGCTGAGGACGGGTGTTGCTGGGCTAAAGCCCCCACCCATTCAAGCAACAATGAAAAGAGCAAGAAATGATTTCTAAAGGAGTTTTGGAAAGGTTTTACAGGAAAATGTTCACTAAAGAAAACTGCTTTAAGCTCAAATGCTAGTATGAAGACTCACGGCAGCTAAGCAGGAAGTACAAGGGGGCTAACGAGTTCTTACTAATAAAAGTAAGCACACTGGATCACGAGAAGAGGCAAACTCTTCTCAGACTCCTGAGTATATTGCATGGGTGTACGCAAACACAGTAACAGAAAATGCAGCTACTTCACAAACAGTCATTTCTTACACTGACCCATAGAATAAGGCATCATATTCCCGAAACAGAGTGGGGTGGGAGGCGGGATGACTGACATGCCACACTCCCAATGGGACAGCTCATCCTACAACTCAAACCTCACCTCTAGGGCAAATCCCTTCTAGATGCCAGTAGCCTCAGGACCCTCCCATCAGGACGAGAGATGTGCCTGTCTTGGGGCTCCAAGATCACATCGCCCAGGTTACCTTTCCTGCACCAAAATAAAATGTGTGGCCTGTCTCTTTAATTAGGACTGGCAGTTCACTGCGGGTGGGGGAGACGGCCTGCTTGTTTTCCCTAGAGACTGGCAGACTGGCACACTGTTGGCACTCACTCTGCAATGGCTGGTGAAATGAGAGAATCGTAAACAGCAGTGGCCAACAGCATTTTCCTCACAGGGCCTCTCACTGACACAGACTACTCTCATGATTCCCCTGGTGCCCGGCTTGTCAGAATTGTCACCTTCTGGGCACAACAGCATGTGGCCTTGCTGCTCCACACCAGTCACCCACAGCTCAGCCACTAGGGCCTGGGCCTGCCACCCTGAAGGTCATGTTTCTGCCCGACATCCTGATGGAGGCTCCCAGGCAAGGCTCCGCAGATTCCACAGACGTATTAACAGTGAACCCCGCGCACCTCCAGGGGCGGGTTCCCCAGCCTGAGTACAAGCCGAGTTACTCGTGCCCTGCTGCAGCAGCAGGACCGAGCACGGGTTTCAGGGGCATGAGAGCAACTCCTGCTGAGGATCTCCCACGGAGAAGCAAAGCAAAACTGAGAAAGCTCCTCACAGAGAAAAGCCTTGCATAGTCAAAGCCACGAAGACATTCACTTCCACACTGGAGAGAAGGTGAGGGCAGGGGTTGGGGCAACCATGAAAACTGCACTTTCAGCTTTACTTCTTTCCCTGCAACATCGCAGGTAGCCCTGTAAACCCACATCCCTTCCCCAGGCGCGCTCAGTCCCGTCAGGTCTTCACACGCCACACCTGCAAGTCCTGTCAGCCAACCCCCCTCGCCACCACCCTGGAAACCTGCCCCACACTACCCGTGGTCTCTGAACACTCGCCCCAGAAGAGCCTCTGCTGCCCGCGTCTCGTCCCACGTTCACTGGGCCGGGAGTCAGGGGCAGGGCACTCCCTGCTGCTCCCCAGGCCAGACTGAGAGGGCAAGTTCAGTAACATCCTCTGCTGTGGTGTGAATGTTCCTGCACCCCCTCCTAGTTCACATGTTGAGATCCTAAAGCTCAGTGAGACAGTATTAGGAGGTGGAGGTGGAGGTGGAGGTGTTGGGAGGTGCTTAAGTCATCAGGGTGGAGACCACATAAATGGGATTGGCACCC